CGACTTCAGGCGGTATCTCTGCGCTGAAATCGGCGAGCACTTGCGACTTTATTGTGGTTTGCGGTTGATATGTTATATCATGCCCGCTCAATTCTAGGGCCCATTTGGCCAACCTGCCCAATAGTTCGGGTTTGTGCAGGATAGTCCTGAGAGGAAAGTTTGTCACCACCTTTATGGGGTGTCACTGAAAATACAGTCTAAGCTTTCGTGAAGCTACGACTAATGCTAGGTCTAGTTTTACAAGGTGGAGGTAACTTGTTTCGACATCAATTAAGGTTTTGTTGATATAGTAAATTGGAGATTGCGTACCTTTGTTCTCTTGGACTAGAACTACACTTACCGCAACTTCGAATATGGCTAGGTAGACTAGGAGGCACTCGCCTAGATCTGCCTTGGTGAGTAAAGGTGGTGAAGACAAGTATGCTTTTAGTTTCCTTAGGGCGTCAACACATTCTGAATTCCACTGAAGTCCATTGTCTTTCCTTAATACATTAAAAAATTTATGGCATCTATTCGAAGACCGTAAGATGAACCTCGACAAGGCGGCTATCCGTCCCATCAATTTTTGTACCTGCTTTTTGCTGGTCAGTGTTTCGGGTATTCCTTCGATGGCCTTAATCTATTCTGGGTTGACCTCAATACCTCTTTGTGATACCAGGAAACCAAGGAACTTTCCCGAGCTTACGTCGAAGGCACATTATTCGAGGTTCAATTTCATGACGTACCGTCTTAATATGTCAAAGGCTTCCTTCAGATGAACGATATGATGTTCTTTCTTTTTTGACTTAACCAGCATGTCGTCGATGTAGACTTCCATTGTTTTACCGAGTTGGTTTTTGAACATTTTGGTGAGCAATCTCTGATACGTCGCCCCTACATTCTTTAGTCCGAACGGCATAACCTTATAGCAGTACGTTCCTTGGTGAGTGATGAAAGTGGTTTTCTCCTGGTCTTCTTCTTCCATGAGGATTTGGTTGTAACCCGAGTAGGCATCCAAGAAGCTTAGCAACTCGTGTCATGTTGTTGCGTCAATGAGCTAGTCAATGTGTGGCAATGGAAAAGAATCCTTTGGACATGCCTTGTTTAGGTCCGTGAAATCTACACACATCCGCCACTTTTCGTTTTTCCTTTTCACCATGACCACATTGGTGACCCACTAAGGGTATTTTGACTCTCGGATGGAGCCATTTGCGAGCAGCTTATCGACTTCTTCGCTGACGGCTTTGTTGATCGTGGTGTTGAACTTTCTTCTTATTTGTCGTACTGGCGGGTATAGGGGGTCGACATTTAGCCTGTGTGTGGCGATATCTTTTGGGATACCTGGCATATTTGCATGGGAGAAAGCAAATAGGTCGGCATGGTCAGTCAAGAACTTATGAAACTTACTTGGTTCTGAGAGGTTGTGCCCGATATAAGCCTTTTTTGTGCTATCATTGTCGTCTAGTAGGAAGGGATCAAGATTTTCTATCATCGACTCGGATGCTTCCACGATGTCGTTCGTATGTCAAGTTTGGCTCCTGACATCGTTGATTGCTATGCTTTCACATTTGCTCCTTTGAGTTGTTGGGTGTGTGCGCAGTCTTGGGCAATGCGATAGCATTCTTGTGCGGTGTGTTTCTCGCCTCGAATGCTGAATACTCCCTATAGGGTAGGAAACTTGATCACTTGATAAAGACTAGAAGGGATCGCTCGCATGGCGTGTATCCACGGGCGCCCTATGATGGCGTTGTAGGGTGTTTCCTAGTTCATGACGTGAAATGTCGTTTCCAGGGTGACTCCTCCAGCTAGGATGGGTAGCACTATCTCTCCAGAAGTCCGTTGAACGGCATTATTAAAACATGTTAGCATTATGCAGCGCGGTATTATTTTATCTTCGAGTCTCATATGCACGAGGACTCGAGGATGGATAATACACGCGCCTCTCCCATCATCTACCATTATTCTTTTTACATCAGTATCTGCAAAACATAAAGTGATAATAAGAGCATCATAGTGAGAGAAAGACAAACCGTCGGCATCTGACTTATCGAAGATGATACTGTCTTCGAGGTCATCATACCGTTCATGGGTGATTGATCGTTTGAGTTTATATGTGGTGGTGAACTTGACATGATTGATTGCTGCGCCATCGCCCCCGCCGATGATCATCTGTATAGTGCGAGCGGGAGAAGGCGGTTTTGGAGGTCCCTGGGGCTGTTCGTGTCCACGGGCGAAGTTAGCCCGTCCTCGATTGCTCAGTAACTCTTTCAGGAGTCCTTGGCTTAGCATTCGTACTACCTCTTGTCGCAGTCCTATGCAATCTTCAGTTTTGTGACCCCTTTCTTGGTGAAATTCGCAGAAAGCGCTCGACTTTCGAGTGTTAAGGCCTGACCTCATCTTTTGCGGCCATTGCACCTTTGGACCGAGTTTCTCTAGTGTGTACACTATTTCTGAAGGAGAAACACAAAAATTGTGAGTGGATAGGAATGGAGGCATACCTTTCTCGTGTCGATATGGTGTTGTATGCCGAGAAGGAGCATCTGTGTGCCGCGGTGGAGGCGGAGCGAACGTCCTGACATAAGGCTGATGCCTTTCCTGGCCGAGGTGAGGCCCCAACTGATCTCTTCGACCATCGTTGCAACGATCTTTCCGTGCTTCAGTTTGAAGTGATGTCAACCGTTGGGTCGGACCGTTGAGGTCGTCCTCGTCGGCTCGTACCTCGGCGCAGTAGGCGTTATGGATATCTTCCCAAGTAGTTAGAGGGTATTTCATGAGCCTGCTTAGCAATTTTCTGGTTGCTCTCTACCCGTTTTTGTTTAATCTGTTCTGGAATGCTGCTACTGCCAATCCTTCTGACACATTCGGCAAGCTCATTCTCACTCTGTTGAACCGAGCTAAGAAGTCCCTGAGTCCCTCGTCGTGCATCTGTCTTACGGCAAATATATCATTTACCCTAGCTTCTGCCTTTTTGGCTTCTGCATGGGCGGTGACAAATTTGTCTGCCATTTCCTCGAACGTTGCTATCGAGTGTGCCGGTAGTTGAGAGTACCATGTCAATGTTCCCCCTGTTAGGGTTTCGCCGAACTTTTTCAATAGCACCGATGGTACCTGCTCTTTGAAAGATCATTACCTTTTACGGCTGTAACGTAGTGGATGATATGATCTTCTGGATAGTACCGTCATATATCTTTTAATAGAGCGGCATTTTGAAGGTCTTTGGAATGGCGTAGGGGGGCGCTTCTTCACTGTATGGTCGCTCGATTAATTTGTACAAAGCTAGGAAGAGGTGATTATCCCTTTTGAGGGGTCTAGATGAAACTAAAATCTTAGCTAAAGAAATCCCCACAGACGGCGCCAAATTGTTTGACCCAAAAGATATTGAAACATTTTTTATTAAATCAATTAAAGAAGATGAAGAGGTAAATCTGAGCTAATTATAATAAACTCTAGATTGAAAGATGCAAGGGATGAACAAGATGAATAATGTTTCTTAATATCTCAAAACCGAACGATTAAGCGTAAGTATGATAACTTTGAATGTAGAAAGATTTTGCAATGGATGCTCTTAGCCAAAGGTAAAAATGATATATGGTTCTCACAACTGTGATAAGTAAAGTTGTCTTCCTTTTTTGTATTCACTTTTCCTCTATTTATAATGACAATCCCCTCTTGAACCCTAAAAGGTATACATAAAGAATATTCGAAGGAATATTCCTACTGCCTCATGTTGCGCCTACACTACTACAAATGTCCTGCGTTTTTTAACCGTTGTCAGTCGTTGCCTTCTTCAACGACCAAAGAGCGTTGTGTCGTAAAGATCTTGTCCCTTGTCGTATTCGTCGGTGGCCGTGGTCGTCCAAATTTGGACCTATACATAGATGAGCAGAAAAAGGAAGTAGTNACTTACTCTTAATCTTCTTTTAATCAGGATTGACGTTCCAAATTTCGTGTTTTGGACTTTGTTCACTCCAGTTCATACCTTTTGTTGTTTGTGATGGACTTCTTATAGTTGGTTTTTCGTATTAGCTCATGAATTGCCTCATTATTGGAATTTTATTTTGGTTTTACTTTTCATTTTTGCCGTTGCTTTGTTGATCTTTCCGCTTGGTTTTTATTTCTAAGTAAATAAGTTTTGGCCAAACTATTCTGGAAATAGTATTTTAAAAGGCGTTTTCGGGGCGAGCCTTGGGGCGAGGCGCACCAAAAACGCCCCGAGGCGATGGTGTGGGGCGAAAGTCTCAAGAGGCATACGCCCGGGCGTTCGGGGTGTACTCTTGGGCGTTTGAGGCGCGTTTTTTTAGTGATGTGTAAGCCTCAGAGACTATTTCAAATTAAAACAAAATTTATTGAATAGGTCCTTCATATAATACCAAAATTCTCAAAAGTCAGCTTGGTAATTACTCAAAAGTTTTAAAAAGGAACTGAAATGTATCAAATTAAAAGTCAAGACATTTTTTTATTGATTTCATAGTATTTTCCAATTCTTTTATCTTGTCCACTAGTATGCTAATATCTCTCGAAAGCAACGAATATTCGATTTTCTTTTTACAAATACAAAGAGAACTACATTCTCCTTCCTAGCAGCAAGTTCAAAGTTCAAATTACAGGTTAGTCATCCCTTTTATCCTCTATGTAGAAAACTTTATTCTTTTCGACTCAAGTTAATGTGCTTCTAAGTAGCGNCTATTTATAAATATTTATTGTAATTATATTATTTTATAAAATATTAAAAATTAAATACCTATGGGCTTATGCCCCGTGCCTCGGGCTTACGCTCGCCGAAGCATATGTAAAACGCCTTTCCTTACGCCCACGCTTTTTAAAACACCGACTGGAAATTAGATTAGAGTAAAGCTGAAATCAATATTAACTTGATCAAGAGGATGATTTAAAGTAATAAATTTGATCAAAGTATGGTACTTTTCGAAATTAGATGAAGGTGAGTGAAAAATTTATCCAACTTATCCAGTTCGCTAAGCTGGGCTGGAAACAAACAACTCATGTGCCAAACCCGGAACAAGTTTACATAATAAACACAACTGTTTTCTCATTTCATATGCAATCACAAGCACAAAAGCAAATTGTACTGCTACTAGACTAGCAATTACTACTTACCATAACAAGCATATTTCAGTGCTTTTATTCAAACACAAACACTCAAGAAAACATCACCACAATCGCGAAGTAGAAAACAAAAGATATGATGTGCTCGATCGTTGCAGCAGAAACCATCTTCAAAAAGTCAAGTAATATCCCTGCATTTCTCTAAGGAACAAATGCACCGTTGTACTTTTTCACAGCCTCTCTGCTATCAAGTGTTCCATTGTATTTCATATGTGCTGGTGACACTGGTTTTAAGTTGGCATACCTTTTCTTGGCTTCGCTGCTATTAATGGTTTCTTTTGATGAAACAATTGAACCATAGCGCGGTTCCTCATATGGAGATGGAAAAGACTTACCGCCCTGGATTTTGTCGGGGTAACGGTCTTCCATTTGGGGACTGTAGTGTTCCTTTTGTGGAGAAAAAGGGGTAAATGATGGTTTCCAACCTCGTGTTTCATGATCAGGGTAGCTTTGTTTCATTTCAGGTGTTGAATGTGATGTTGGAGCGTGTGGTTGTTGCTCACCAGCAGGGGAAAACAGAGGCTTTCCACCTTGTGGTTTATTCGGGTAACTTTCTTTATTTTGAGGTGTTGGATTTGAAGTTGGATAATGTGGTTGCTGTGCAGAACCAGTGGAAAAATGAGGGTTTGCATCGTGTGCTGTCTCAGGGTAACTTTCTTTTCTTTGATGCATTGGACTTGAAGTTGGTAAGTGTGATTGTTGTGTATAACCAGGGGAAAACAGTGGCTTTGCACCATGCGTTGATTCAGGGTAACTTTCTTTCCTTTGAGACTGCGGGTTTGAAGTTGGTAAATGTGGTTGTTGTGCATAACCAGGGGAAAACAGAGGCTTTGCTCCATGCGCTGTTTCCGGGTAACTTTCTTTCCTTTGAGGCTGCAGGGTTGAAGTTGGTAAATGTGGTGGTTGTGTAAAACCAGGGGAAAACAGAGGCTTTGCGCCATGCACTGTTTCAGGGTAACTTTCTTTCCTTTGAGGCTGTGGGTTTGAAGTTNTTCTTTCCTTTGAGATGTCGGATTAGAAGTTGGTGACTGTGATTGTGGTGTATTATAAACAGGGGAAAACAGAGGCTTTGCGCCATGCATTGATTCAGGGTAACTTTCTTTCCTTTGAGATGTCGGATTAGAAGTTGGTGAATGTGATTGTGATGTATAAACAGGGGAAAACAGAGGCTTTGCGCCATGCGCTGTTTCAGGGTAATTTTCTTTCCTTTGAGATGTCGGATTAGAAGTTGGTGACTGTGATTGTGGTGTATAAACGTGGGAAAACAGAGGCTTTTTGCCATGCGTTGATTCAGGGTAACTTTCTTTCCTTTGAGATGTCGGATTAGAAGTTGGTGAATGCGATTGTGGTGTATAAACAGGGGAAAACAGAGGCTTTGCGCCATGCGCTGTTTCAGGGTAACTTTCTTTCCTTTGAGGCTGAGGGTTTGAAGTTGGTAAATGTGGTTGTTGTGTATAACCAGGGGAAAACAGAGGCTTTGCGCCATGCGCTGTTTCAGGGTAACTTTCTTTCCTTTGAGGCTGAGGGTTTGAAGTTGGCAAATGTGGTTGTGCATAGCCAGGGGAAAACAGAGGCTTCACTCCTTTTGTTGGTTCAGGGTAACTTTCTTTCCTTTCAGTTGTCGGATTAGATGCTGGATAATAGGATGGTTGTGTAGAAAGAGGTGAAGCCAGAGGCTTTCCACCTTGAGTTCTCTCAGGATAACTCTCTTTTCTATGTGGAGTTGAGTAAGATGCTGGAAAATGTGATTGCGGTGCATAAGTAGGAGAAGCCAAAGTGTTATTACCTTCCTCAAGGATCTTCATAGCAGTGCCAATATCATTTGTGGCCTGGCTAAGTGGAGGACTAGTTGTTTTGTAACCTCCATTGAATTTTGGCTTGCCATAATCATCATTGGTGTTGCTATATGGGCTTATTCCTCTTGATCTAGGTGGTGAATCCCATTTGTTGTTGACTCCATAGTCCTTGAAATGGCCAGCCTTGGGAGAATCCGCGGACTGAGTGAAGCTAGGCTTTTCATAACCATCTTTCCTGTACGAAAATGGACTTGATCCTCGATTATCTTGAAGGAGCAATTCGTCAAACTTATTGCGTAGAGGGCTTCCACTAAAATCGTGATGCTCATTATACTTTGGAGAGTCATGATCTTCACTCCAACTAGGCTTAGTGCTCCACTTTGGGGAGCTCAAAAGAGTGGGATGAGTTGATCGACTAGCTTCACTATGAACTTTATCAAAGAAGTCATGGACCTTTCTAGGACTATGATTGTCCCATTCGTCGTGCACATTGTACTCGTCTACAAGACCTCTCGAATCATAACTGTGGCGAACTTCAACAATTCTTTGAGCTCTCACCACATAACCCTCGACGCCACCAATGATAACAGGGCGATGGACATGATCAGGGTAGTCACTTACAGTAGTAATTGGCTTCCCCCAATCATCTTGGTATATACCCTTGCCATAACCAGCCATAAACTATTATTTAGACTATAGCTTATTGCTTAGTTTTTTTTCTTCCTCTTTGATTTTAACCAAGTTAAAGTTGCTCCTTATATAGAGAAGTTGAGTCATGTTGTACGTGTATACATTCTCTTCTTTATTCTGTTTCTACTGTTATATCTTTGGATTCTCTTAGATTTGTCTATACTGTGAAAGAACCAAATTCTCCTACTTTGCCTGGCTGTGAGGTTTTCATTTCCTATTGGTGGATTTTCATGAGAGGGCTAATAAGGCCAAGAAGGAAACAGGTAACAAGAGATTTTTTTTGTGAGAATAGTTCAAGGTATAAGATAAGAGATAAATGTGAATATTTCACTCTTTGAAGCAAAGAATAAGATTATTCCAATTTAAGCCTCCAAGAATTAGAACAAGCTACTAGATAAGGATATTTGCCATTGGAATAGAATCTCTTACTTTTACTTGAAGTGAACTTCAGTAAACCTCCATTCCATGGAATTTATTTCATTTCCTTTTTATAACATTTTCTGTGGCACACTACAAAAGGAACATGTGAGTTGTCCATCGGTTATCAGGAAACCAAATTGGTGCTCTGAAATCAGTATGAACGGAACAGATCCCGTTCAACTTTTTACTTGCACTACAGTCTACAGGAAACCAAATAGGAGTATGACTTTTGGGGAAAGTAGTGGCTCTTTGAAAATTCTAACATTTAACCCGATACTGTTTCCTTATTAGTATGTTCCAAAAATAATTGACGCCTTTTTTATATTTGGAAATAATTTAAATTTTAATTTTCTATTTATCCTTAATGACATGCTTTTATTGCCTCAAAATCTTAATGACATGTTCCAAAAGTCTTTAATTCTTTCTTTCTTTAACTCCGTGTTCCGTTTTTGTTATATTGGAAGGCAGAATAGGGAAAGAATCAAAAATAGTCAGATTTACAACTGGCAATTGAAAAATAGCCGCAGTTTGAAAAGCAATCGAAATTTAGCAATTTTTTCATGTAAAGATAAAATCTGAACAAAAACACCCTTGAAAACCCGGAAAAAATTCCAGCATAATATGTTAGAGTTCGAATTTTTTACATATGAAATTCTTGCATAATGTGCTGGAATTTCATAATGTGTTGGAGTTCCAACATAATATGCTAGAAGTTTAAACGAAGGAGCTCCATAATCCAGCATATTATACTAGAAATTTCCGTGTTTCAGCAAAACAGTGGCTATCTTTCAATAACTTTGCAAACGCTGGTTGTTTTTTGATTATCAGTTCGAAAACTGGCTAGCTCGTGCTATTTTCATGGCAGAATATGTATTTAGAAGAGAATCTGGTGCAAACTTATCTGGATGAGATAATGAACCAAAAAAAATTTCTGCACTCAATTCTTCAGTTACATCCACCCACTTCAGCTCCAAAGTCCAAACAACCTGTGATAACCAACAAATAGTCCGAAATCCGAATATTATTATGCTTCTTAAGGACGGTATATTATCCTCTTGCCAATGTTGAAAACGACCCCAAAAAGATATGGTCATTTTAAGTACATCTATAACGATCAGATTTATGTCCCTTCGCTAAAAATGGCTGCAGAAAGTCAAATTTCTTGTAGTGGATCAACTGCAGTTGATGCACATGTTGTGATGTTAACAGGGAATAGTAACTGCAGTTGAGTTTTCATAGTCAGTGGCGTAGCTTGGAAATTGAACTAAACTAGGATCAAGTGGTACTTAATCAAAAGATCCTTAAGATCATAGGTGCAATATGTACATAATCTTTGACAATTAGAACAATATCTGCAGAAAAAAATTAAAATTTGTTTTTGCTTGATCAAGTTCTATATGCAAGTTATGATAAAGATTTGATATTCTCCTTAGTCATTGGTGGAAAGCTTGCTCATATTGGGAGATGAGTTTAATATACAACATAAAATTGAACCATGAATACGTATACATCATCTACTATAAAAATAAATCTAACTTCTAACTCATCACCTAATAATCAAATGTTGGGACATCATCAAAAGTAGCAGAAAATGCTCTATATGTGGTCCGATCAATGACGCTTCGGTAAGGATCCTCCTCTCTTTTCTTAAGCAAATAATTCACGCTATTTTGAACTTCATATTTTATATGCAAGTACAATTCTCTTGCTTTCTCTCTGTCTTTCAACAAGTCCTGCCTTCCCTTTGTATGAATAGGTTTTCCAAACAAGTAGTAAAAACGACCGGGTACCTTAGGTAAAATGCCCGGGAGATACAACGTTTGGTTGGCAACCTCCCCAGTCATGTCCCTCCTACAGAAAGATTTATAGAACAGTTAGGTGGATATAACAATAAATGGTTCAGAATGAAAGAAGCAAGAGAGGTAGGAGCAAATACTAGGAAACGAGACAAAAACAATAGGGAACCATGAATGAACCTGACTGTTACACCCATCCTCGCTGCCAGTTCGTTGTCACGCCTTATCTGATCACTCAATATAGGAATCTTTTTTAGGTCGTCATAGTCGAGAACTAACTGCAATCAGAACAGCTAAGATCAGGCAAGAATATGCTGAGAAATGGTATATAACTGGTTCCAATTCCTAGTATGAACAAGTATATACAGATCAAAGGGATAAGTGAATAGTTCTTCCTTGTTCTACTTCTTCTACTTCTATGAGTTAAATTTCTCTTTCAAGATCAAGTTATTCGAAAATGCAATATACCCAAGAGAAAATAACTCGCTGCATCTTCCAAATTGAAATGAGACTAGCTAACAGATACGTGACCAAAGCTTTTAAGGGAAATAATATCAAGGAACCAAAAAGCGTCATTATTTCTTCTAATGTTGCAAAGGAAAATATATGTAGGACAGCATAAACAAACCTGTGCTATATCATCTTCCCCAACAACGCCAAATGGCACAATTGTCGCACCAAATCTTGCAGCCATTCTGATGAATTCTGGTTGGTCAGGCCAAATCACCTTGTACTCTTCTCCCTATCACAAATACAAAACCATCAACATAGGAAATAACATCACAAGGAAAAACCCTAACTTGATGACAATGAGGTCATCGTTATTTTCTCGTCATTTCGATGAGGTACACTAGAAGACAGCCAGTCACCAGTCTTTCTCTTCAACTTACCTTTGTGAATAGCAGTTACAGAAAAGCACAGAAAATTATACTAAATCCACTTTGAAGCAAACATTTCCAAAAGAAAAGGTGATATTCTCACTTTGTTATTGGGAATACCAGTTGTAACATATCCCTAAAAGAGACTATGACTACATAAGCTCTGTCGAAGTTCAAGAATATGAGGTGCTTGCTGTTATGTTAGAAGTAAACTGTTAATAGTTAAAATGATAAGAGTGAGAATATTTCAAGATTCAATTCTCAAGTAAGACATATCACACAATGGACAAATATTATGCGTATTGAGGTTGACTTAAAGTGTGTCATGTATTCATCGTATCGTCAATTATTTGATACATTAAGTCTCTTCTCTTATTTTCCAGCAAGAAAGCACTGCTTTATTATTTTTGTGTTACTAGATGTCCATCAAATTCACAAGCAAAATGAGCTTTAATTGCTCATTAACGTCACTGACATCATAAATAATTTTTTATTTTCCAGTTAAATTAGCATCCTCTTTTACGCCCTTGACATTCCAGTGTATGGAACTAACGAGAAGTAACAGACAACCTAAATCTCTAAAACTTTTCCAATATGTCCAGTTATATTCTTAACTAACTTGATGGGAAGTTCAGCCAAGTTATAACTTATAAGAATCATGAACCAACACATTATGCATGTTAATTAAATAACACATATAGAGACATTTATACACATGCAGAAATGTAGTTTTCCATCATCAATTTCACCATTTAACAACTATGAAATGTTCTATAAAGAGACACACTAACTAGACAAGTGTATATCATAGTGGTTAGCTTGCCATCAAATGGAGACCACTGGCTAAGGTGAATAATTACAAAACTGTTAAGAATCTCCTCTGTGAGCCTTTCTGTTCAGCACTGGCCTTACTTTTAGCTAACGGTACTTTTCCTTTTCTGAAGTGAGTTATTTTTAGCTGTCCTTAGTTGCAAGGAAATTCCATCTTTATGGTTTTAGGCATATATGAGTGGTATACTCCCCATGACTCCACTATTCATTAAATTCCTCTAGTTACAGAAGAAAATGTATCTACAAGCAGAGAATTCCAGTATTAAGTACCAGTAATTCACATCCTAGCGTAAAGGTAAGGAACTGGAGTCAAATAATGACTTTAAAGTGGATAACAATTTTAACAGACTTGTAGGAGAAGGCATGAACAGCAATAGTACAAGGCTTCCCATTAAAATAGAAGATGGAATTAACCAAGGGAAGATTATGACGCACCTTACGATGTAAGGCCTCACGGGCACCACCAGGATACAGCAGAACATGTGACTTTGTTGCAAGCAACTTAAAAAAGTTGCTGGCAGTGACAGGCGTAGCTCCATATAGTCTCAGCATATCAAAGATTGAACTTTCGTTAGTTTCACTCTCAATCAGCTGAGTGAACAATGTTGGATGTGCTATACCACGAAGTAAAATTTTCTTCTGCCTCAAATATTCTTCAACAAGAGGGATTACTTCTAAACCCATAAGCATGTGATAACCAACCAACAATACAGGGCCTTCACATGGGACCCCTGCTAGACCTCTTACAATTTTCCCATTTTCCATTGTGGATAACATAACTGAACCAGTAAAATTGATATACCATCTGCAATATCATTTTGCATAATATTAGCTGCAAGGTGCAAGATATTAACACACATGCATTATAAATCAAAAAGGTAGCTGAAAATTTGTTAGTTTGATTGGCGTATTAAAGGAAAAAAGAAAGACTTTCTTTTCATGTAGAAAAATTGAGATACCATCTGCAATATCATGTAGAAAAAAGTATTTTCTTTCATTTCAACAAAATAAGTACTTTCTTTTCATGATGTAAAAAAAGTATTTTTTTTTATTCAATAAAATGAGTAATTTCCTTTTGTGTTGCAGAAAAGATACTTTCTTTTTCAACAAAATAAAGTATTTTTTTTTTTTAGTTATCAAGCTCAAATGTTAATGTTGTTCTTGTGTGAAAACGTAAAGTAGCACATTAGTTCCTTTGTGTTTGTGTGAAT